AATGCCCAAAACATGCTCCAAAGTGGACTAACTGTCGGAGGACAAGGGGTCACGCATGGGACGTCGTCGAGTCAAGTTCTATCTCAAGAGAGCTATGTCCAACCCCAACCGACGCAGTCGCACCGGGCGAGGCATCGACCTGGTGCCAATATTGGCGGGCGTAGAAGACGCCGTGTCCGCGACCTCGATGCCAACACCGTGCCTGCCGACACCGTGCCTCCCAATACCGTGCCTGAGGAACAAGCAGAAGAAGGTCAGATTTTTTTACTTAACTACAATATGATTTTTAAATTATTTATTTAATTATTTATTGTAAAGTAGAATTTACGATTTTTTTCTTAAAATATTATTTATTCATATATACAGAAGAAGCTGCCACGCCCACAGATACAGAAGAAGCTGCCACAGCCTCGTCTTCTTTACAGACGTACCAGCGTCGGAAGGGCTCCTGGGAGCGCAGACCTCCGGATCAATTCACTCCTAGCAACTATTAGGAAATTTATGAACATTTTGTTTTTCTTGACTTTTTGTGGTTGAATATTTCGTTGTTGAATATATTTTGGTTGAATATTTATTTTGATATATTTTGGTTGAATATTTGGTTGTTTAATATTTGGTTGTGGAATTGATTTCGACAAACAGGTGTTCTATTTTATTTCTATTGTAAAATTGCTGTTTCTGTACAGTAAAATTGTTGGTTGTTTGGAATATGCATAGAAAAGTGTTAAAGGACTGAAAAATGACAAAATCGAGCTGCAGATGGGTCACACGACTCATGTGACCCATGACACGAGTCGTGTGGCTTCAAGAGAATGATTTTTTACCTACGGCTTTTTCACACGGGTCGTGTGTCATGTGACACGAGTTGTGTGACGTTACACGACCCGTGTGGTTATGTCGTGTGAGTCTGGGAGTATTTTTTTTAATTGAAAACGTATTGTCATAATACGTTTTAAGTTTTAATTTTTTTAACTGAAAACGTATTCTAATAATAAGATTTCTGCATGGAAACCGTAATATGAAAATACGTTTCATTTAAAAAAAAAAATTCATAAATTTTACTAATTTTTTTTTTAATTTATAGTATATAAAAATTATTTAAAAAAAAGCGTATAATAAAAATACGTTTTAGTTTTTTAAGCGTATTCGGAAAATACGTTTCATTTAAAACGTATTATGAGAGTACGTTTTACTTTACATTAATTTTCTTAATCGCGATTTAATTAAGTTAATCGTGTTTAAAAATTTATTTCGATATAAAACGTAACATGAGAGTACGTTTTCTTATGGAAACGTATCTTCGGAATACGTTTTCAAATTGAAAACGTATTCTCAGTATCCGGCTGTTTTATTTTGGTGCCTTTTTTTT